AATGTTGCACTATTTGAAAGAGTTTCAAGTAAGCTAATAAAATAAGACCATATCCTACGATTTCTTAAAATCAGTAGAGGGTTAGCGGACTATGGGGCGTATATTCTCCTTCCTGACAACGAAAAATCAGCGCATCAACAAGAGCAACACGTGAAGTGAATTGTTCGTTTCTTATACAAATTGTAGTCCTGGCTCCCTCCTCAAAACGTAGCACGACTTGGTTTTCAATACGTTGACTCCCTAAAATTCCCAAAGGAAGGGCTATGTGATTTGAAGTTAGTAGTAAGTTTATAGTTTTTATGGTTATACTCGGGGAACAAGGGAGCAGAATAGACTAAACAAAATATGTTTGAAATACTATATATACATTGAAAAGTCCATAATATATTAAATTCATGTTTTTACCGAATTCTGTTTAATTTTTAATGTTTAGGTCTATTTTGATTAGTAATTCGAAAATGTTAGTACTTTATTGAAAAAGCTACCTATATATTATGTTATTTATGATTTCGTTACTAGGGTACATGAAATTAAAATGTATCTTTTCATTTCTTATAAATTACTTGACATTTGAGTCATATGGATGAAATTCTCTGAATAAATAATAGTATTCAAGGGGATTATTTCTTCTGATTATATATTACAATATATTCGATTGAATTTACTCAGTGGTAGTGTTATGACCACTTAATTTAGGATTTTTTTAACTACGCACGCCATTGATTTCTTAGTTTCTTTGTGGTTTTGATCGCTTGCTCGCTGAACTACATTTACAGTTTGTTTCTAGAAAACAGCCAAATGATAAAACGTACAAAATTAAATAGAAAGGTGTGAAAGGGCCCTATAGATTTGCCTCGATTTATTTATTGCGAACAGTAATGGTGCAAAATAAACGAAAAAATCTCTTCATAAAATTCACTTATTACAACTTTGGTGACGCTAAAGGCTAAGAAAACAAAACAAAGTACGTTTATTTTTTTAATCTGTAATATCCTGGGATATAATATAATAAGTTTAAACCTGACAACACTGATGCTGCGTCATGTGGTAGTAGTTACCGGGAGATCATAAATCGCACAGATGCTGGATTATGTAAAAAAATCACTAAGAGATGAGTTATCAAACTGGTACAAATATGTTGTTTAAATTAGACAAAAGCAAAGGATTAGTGTAATTACAATTTTTGATGTTCAATAGTTAACATAAATTACACACACAATTGTATGTGACACAACATTAGTTCTCAAAAATTTTATTTCGGACATCCATTGTCTACACAAAAAACAGGAAGTCGTACTCCATTGGTCTTGAAGTGCTCAGAAAGAAATTTAACAAATCCATAGTTGCTCCGGTACCAGAGCGTTAAATATCTAAAACGGCGTCAAGTAGGTTGACTCCACACTCTCAACGTAACGTCGTCATCAGTTCATCAAGGATTATGTTCAACACAAGTTAAACCGTATCGCAATAAGTCAGCTCCATAGACCTTGTATCCTGGATAGAGTATAGTTGCTATGCATTCGTTGTTCCAGACACCAAGCCTAGACTATACTGATGAGTTGCCAAAAAAGCACGAAACAACAGTGTGGTTGGCTATCTTTGGTTGGAAAGACGACAGCAGCATGTATAATTTAGACCGTCTAAGAAAAAAGTTAGTTACGAACATGTATAACGGAGAAATTAATGGATCAAGTCCGTCAAACCGGTCCGTACAATTAGTCCATAACATCCTTTCCCTGTCCATCTGGCAACGTCACGTTGCCTCTCCCCCAATATATGGAAATATGATGCGACACATACGAATACCGGCACGCCGGGCGCGGCCGTTGAAGTCAGCAGACGCAGAGAAGCTTGTCCAAAACATTTTTTATCCTTCTAAGTTTCAAGGCCGAATGTTCGGGGCAATCTATGATGAGTCAAATATGTTTAATAGGTGCGTATAATTATTGGGGTTGAAGTTGTATTAATATACTAACATCAAAAAATTGCAATACACCCTTCCTCACCCTTCAATTTATTACCCCTAAAGTGTTTTCAAAAACGATCAGGATCCTCTGATACGTCAAAAAACATTTTGTTTTTTTCGTCTTTGGCCGTTTTCAGAAACGACAAAGCTTGGCATAGCCTTGTGGAAAATTTGGTCAAACTCTGATCGGTACTTTCCTAGTTATAGACGGGCTAAGGATTAGCGGACACACAGACAGACATACCGACGGAAATAAGTGACATGCTTTTTCGTGATATACATAACATCTAGAAATCATGTATGATTTTTGAAACTTTTCGCGATTACAGTACCTCCTCGTCAGTAGGGGTGGGAAGTAAAATGAGTACGGTCAACGCACAGAGCGATTTCGATGATATCGGTGTGTTGTACGAGATGGTATAGTCTGCGGTTATGGAGAAATTTTGTCTTCGACTGTCGCGATAGTATCGCATATTAACAAGTAGCAAACCAGAGCGAAAGATGTAGACCTGGCAACACTGTTCACGGCCAACTGTGCTCTCCTTTCAGCTTTACCGGCAAGAAGGACCATGAGCGTGAGAAGGGCTGAGGGAGTACGAAGGGAAAAGGGGATGCAGGGTCGCTCACCCTCCCCCCAGGGTCCCTTCTCCTCTCTAACGATCGATACGAGATACGCACTGCGAGGCAAAGTGGAGATTGGAGAACATACCCGCCACCCGCATCACCGGGATTCTCTCTTGGATCGGTTTTTACTAGTGGATAGGATGTTTCGGGTTTCCTATTCTTATTGTACAAAATAAACTGAGATTATAGAAGTTTTTGACAGTGCCTATGCGAATTATTCTTGTAATACTGTCGCCTAAGTATAGTAACTGGCAAAGAAGTATTATGTACTAGGACTAGTTAAACATATATGATCATATAGTATTTGTGCATTGTGATGCATGATGCTGTAAAAATGAACATTTGGTTTTCTTTATTGAAAGAATATTCATAGAAAAATATTATTCTTACTACAACAATATTCAGCTGTCCCACAAATTCGATTATAGAAATAAATTATTGATAATGGGGTTTTTCTCTACCTAGACAAAATTGCGTTTTTAATAGTTGACAGATTGTTTACATCTATTGTACAAGGGATGATGAGATTAAAGATTCCATATAGCAAAATCCGATGAAACCACATATTCAGCGTGGTTCTCGTTCTCCGGTTCGATTTAATAAAAAACTCAATCTTGAATTCCTATCTCACAGGGTATATTAAACCTAAAGGGCTTAACGGATTTTGACATATTATAAGGCGCCTCTAGATTTGTCTTGGCAGGCAGAGTGACACTGGGTATACTAAAGTTTTATAAAATCAAAATGACGGATTTTAATCCAAAATTTCAACTTTGTAGTTCATACTCCACTTGCTACAGCTTAAATGACCTGATGGATTTTGACAGAATGAGGTATCCCTAGATTTGTCTGGAGAGTGCGAATGACAGTGGGCAGATTAAAATTTTATAAAATCGGTCCAGTAGCGGCGTAGCTACAAGCAAAAAATGAAAAATAAAATACCTAGCACAAACTTTGTATTTTGATGTTTCAGAAGATCCTGATCATCATAGATACATGTTTCAAACATGGTAGGTTTCCCTTTAACACTTTTTTTAAAGCATAACTTTTTAATCAGATGCGGGGGACAAATAATTTGGTTCTATTTTTTTGAAATCACCTAGTGCATGTAGCTTCATTGGTATTTGTAAATTTTGTACCGTGTATGTACTGTGTAGGTTTTCACTTTCGTGTGAAATTGTATAACATCGGAATTTGTTAATATTGCCGAAAGGTCTACATACGTGGGCTACACAGCGGAAACGCTATCTCCTTTTTCCAGACATCGTTCGTCTGTTCTTTTTTTAATAAACCCGGATGGATTTTTCTTGTCACTCCATTCCAGACTTTACTGCCGACTGACTGCCTGAAAAACGTCGGCTGGATAGATGGGAGAACGCATGAAAACCGACGTGTAGTATTATCACAGCATATACCACACTACACAGCAGGGCAACTTCCTGCAATTATGTTGAATTTGTATTTGTACACGTTGCGAGAAGCTACCATGCATCCTGGAAACTAATTTCCCCATTCTTGTTTATAAGACTGTGAATATTTTCCTGTTTTACTCTGAACTTGGAGCCTTATCACCTGACATCTCAATTTTATAGAAAGTATTTAATTAAAAACATTGCTTGTCCCATTATGCGGTAATGGCGGTGATCTACCTGTCTGTACCTTGTGCCAAGAAAAACCAATACGGGAAAGCGGTGTAAGGAATGTGCGTACTAATTATAAGCAATCCAAGTCCACGTCCGTCGTGTGCAATACTACTCGAGTACGCATGTGTACAAGACGATGTGGGGAGTAAAACCACATAGACTACATGGAATTTTTTAGATTTATTTTTGGTTGCAGCTCTGTTTAAATAAAAATCTGTAAATATCTGAGTTATTCTAAAAAATCGTGGAAAATGAGTAAGTTTTCCGTAAATAAGGTCTCATTTCGGTAGAAATACCGAGAAATCGGTAGGTTCGGCAACCCTGGTCCGGGATGCTCCGCTTGGTAAGACGGTCGCGCATTATGCAAGACGCGAACCTCCCCGATAGTTGACTTGCTGTGTAGTAATATATATACCGTGTATAGTATTACGTGCGGGGGATAAGCGTTGAACAGAAGGGGGGTTGCGACAGGGAGGGAAATGTGAACAGCGCTATAGCGAGTGTTTTATTAAATAGCACGTGAAAAATTGATGAAGATGAAGCATTGCAGCGGCGACGAAACGTTGGGTGATGCTCGGCTGATGTGGCATGCAGTTGATGAGACGGGTTTTCACGATTAATGCTTTTTTACCGATTGTTTTTGCTTACCACGCCAACTAGCGAGGAAGTATTGTAATCGCGAAAAATTGAGACGTTGTGTTTTTCGGATGTTACATGATATATATATATATATTTATATATATATATAGATCACGAAAAACCATGTACCTACTCATTTTGATGAAACTTTGACGCAAGTTTACTACTATGCCAAGGACGAAAAAGCTCTGTAGTCTTCGGGAATCAGTCTAGTGACGGCGGAGAAAAAGGTTAACAAACACGATTTGGAAATCTCTTGGAACCTAAAAGAGCCATTAGGACACATAACTATGACTCTGATTGTTTTTTCGGATAGTCTTATCAAAAACCCAATTTATAGGCTTAGCCAAAAAGGCTGGTGTATCCAATCGAATATTCAATAGAAAAAAGAAACCTGAACCGTTGGTAGCCGTAACTATAATCTCAAAACGTTTTTTTGTCTGATTGGTTTTGTCTTTTTGGATAGACTATTGAAAAGTATCAAGTACCTATGTGATCGAATATCTAATAGAGAAAAAGAAACCTGATATAGGTAGGTGAAGTATTTTATTTTATTACACAAAAACTTAACTCCTACTTCATCATACGTGCCATGCTAGATTCCTCTCACTTTGGATTCCAAAAACTGGGTAAAGAACAATAACTTAATTAGCTTCTACCCTAGAGTGTGCTTTTTTTATCATACTCATATGAACTTTATGAGTTTCGATGACCAGTAGTTAAAACAACAGAATTAAGACACTCTCCCTATAGTTTTTATAATTAGCTGAAATAATAAAAAAAAATAAGTAGCTTGACGCTGATCAGATCTTCGATTCTCTGTCCTGCAATAAGTCGATCTTTTCCGAAACGATCATTTTCCGATGTATCTATTTTCAAAAGCAGCATCATATATTTTAAACATTAAAAGTACAATTGCAGTGCAGATGTTTTTGAGAAACTTGAGTTGAACGTTTATCCGCTAATTCGGAAATATAAAGTGTGTCCTAAAAGTTGGAACTATCCTTTTCCGAGTCAACTACGTTTGCAATACCAAAGCTAATTTGCGCCAAAACAAATCGAAAACGTAAAAAAGGAATTGAAAAATACTCACTATTCATTTGGTACGGAATTTCAAGTACTGCCCTGTCACATGTATTAATTGTAAACACTGCTTGGAGTTGTCGCTGTTCGATTCAAAAACACTAGTTTGTTTACGTCTTCCTAAATTGATGCTATCTAGGTCTACTCCCCGAGAATCAATAGGAACTTGAAGATGCTCATACCATATCGATTATTGCTCTAGGAATGTGCTAATTTTGGTTTTTAAAATGGTAAACCTAGACACCACGCGACGCCTCGTTTGGATGCTGACTCAAATACTATTAGTACATCACACGTTTTGACGTAAGAAGGGATTGTGGGAGAGGGTTATTTTTTGGTAAACCTAATACATCGGTTATCTTGAAGCTTTGGCATATATGTTACTATATGTTACAAAACGTGCTTATTATTGCCTGACCTCTGTAAAGGTAAGTCCCAACTTTGAGGATACCCTATATACTGTAAAATCTACTAAACAACATATCATTTTTATTGTTATAAACACATTAGGTTGATGGAAAGTATGTTTGATCACAGTATAGAGCTACAGATGAATATAAGCTCATTATGACTAGTTTTTGTCTGTATAGTTAGAGTGAGATGAGGTGGGCCGAGAGGTAATGTTATTTTCTGATGGTGATGGCAAAATTTTATCGATGTATGCCGCCAGATTGTTATTGGCGGGATGAAACTGATTTGAAGAACGTGCTCGTGATGCTTTAAAATGTCGAAGGAGCATCCCGTCAATTTCATACATAACTAACATTCTTTCTTCATACGGAAACCTCCTTAATTTCTTCGCCATCAACTTCCCGTACAGATCACAGTCGTCGTCTTGATCAACTTGTCTTTTTTTGTTTAAAACAGTAGAAAGGGATGAAAAAGCCCCGTAGATCATTTGTTTTGCTGCTTGTAATTCAGGGTGGATATCTTCATCATTTTTCGCCGATAGATTGGTTTCCATTTGTGGAGCTTCGTCGTTGGTTAGCGGATCCTCAGGGTCAGGCATAACGAAATGTTGACTATCGACCGGACTGGGCAGTTGTAGATCGAATTCTTCATATTTGTCCTGCAAATAAGATTAAAACCATCAGGAACTTGATCAAAGTCAAAAGCCTATGACAAATAGAATTGCTAGAATTATTATGCTTGTGTTCCACGTGAGGTAAACTCGGGCGCAAAAATAACTTCTGGAGATTCTCCCCATATCTTGGAAAAAATTGGAACAAGAGGCAACCATGCAGTGCTGTGGTTAGTCCGGCGTCTTTTAGAGGTGCGGCTGAAACTGATACATTAGCTATGTTCGAGCATCAATTCTGTGACGCCCGAATGTCAACTGCTTCAATGTGTAGTCGCAGTCAAATAACCAGTTTCGCTAGATTACTTTGTACTGCTAAATAACTTGACAGCGATAGTATCGTGTTGAGCATTTAGATGACATTATTCTTTGTGCGATCTGTACAGAAATGTTTTAAAAAATAGCTTTGAGCGTTAATGGTAGGCACCTATGATAATAAATTTAAATAAGGAGGTATATAATATAGTGAAAAACTAGTTCCTAAGAAATTATATGAAAACCTCTAACTAGCTGCAACCTCTTCAATGCCACAAAATATACAAATGTCACAATGCCACAAAGATGCTAACTCACAAACAGAAATCATAACAAATGCCACAAAGAACATAATAACATCATGCATGGATCTTATGCGATCTACGCATGTCGCAAACCTCAAATCTCAACAAAATCATGTGTGCTGTTTTGAAACCAGTTTTCAAAACTGGTTGGAAATTTGATGCTAGAACATTACTATTGTTTTAACAAGAAGCGGCGGAACAAAGATTATTTTACACCAATGCAGTGGCGCAGGTAGAATCCTATATATGTCAGGACACCGCGGCTCCTATTAGGAGCCTAAAGAAACTTTGTTAATCCGATTTTTGAGCTGCCTGAGGTGAGTATAACTCATTTAGATTGTTCCACAATCTCAATACCCTAGGGACAAAGCAGCGGTCGTATCGGCCAGTTATGGATGTACGACGTTCGATACGGCATCAAGGAGGAGAGCTCTGAGGAGCAAAGACCATCGGCGTAGCGGTAGAAGAGAGCAAGATCCGTTAGAGGCGGGTTATCGATCAGTCGAACAGCCCTCCTCTGAACGCCATCGAGCCTTGATAATGCAGTCGGGGAGACAGCACCCCAAAGAACAGTACTCGAGGCTAGGTCCTAGCTGGGCCTTGTACCATATAAAGTGAGGAGGTCATGTGGAGAAAAGAACTTCTTACCCTAAACCCCTAGCTTTTGCCATCTGATGCCGCTACGGACGAGATGTGTTCGTGCCAGATCAGGTCCTCCGACCAGCCGAAATGAACGGCTCTTTGGTAGTACTCGGCCATCCATCGAAACCGCTAGGACGCTTCTTGTTAATGACGCATACTACGAATTATATCGTTCCAGGAAACTGAGAGTGCTGTAGGTATTTCTTAAAAATTTGCGCGAATTATTACCAGCGCAGCGGCATACTAGGGCATAAACTTCTAAATGTAGGTGGCTATTTCTCGACGTATCAAGTTTTAGAGCTGTTGACAAGTTTCGCCTTGGTTCTTTTTGTTTTCAAGTATACCAATCTAAAAGTCATAACTTACCGTTTCATTATCGGCTGGGTTGTTGAACGTTGGAGTTATGCAGTTGACAACTGATCCCAGGAAACTGTCCATTAACTCATACGCAAACCATACTGGTCTATAACAATCGCTACTGCCGTTTTCAGTTTTGATAATTGCCTTCTTCCTTCGCGTAATACTTCTAAAAGTAGCCATCAATGATTCCTTTTTCCTTTTCAGGATTGCCACAGACAGCCCAAGTTTATCGCTTAAGCGTTCCCATGCTTCACCAACTCGCCTTTTGTCTTTATGGAATTTGTGTTTTGGGTTCCACAAAACCGGTTCGTTTTTGTAGCCCTCCAAAAATTGCAATGTGAAGTCGTTTGTCCAATCTCCCAGTTTGGGGAGATGCTTTTCGGCCTCCCTCTGCATCTACACAAACGAAGCGAGGTACGCCTATCGAATAAGTAGGTTACGGAGTTTTCGGCCTCCCCTCGTATCAGAAGAAACGAATCGAGGCTGAAGCGAATACAGCAAGCAACGCAGGCTGTGGAAAACGAGCGCTCGTGACGTAACGACGACTACGACATTCGCGGAATGCCCGGCGAGACTGGACGAAGCTAGCAGCCGGTAACGAGCGGGCGCTCGTTGTGCCTCGGGTCCCCTCGCCCCGCCGCGTTGCTTCTCGTACCCAATGTTGCCAGGTTTTACGCCACTACCAACAGGGGCCTGATTCTAAATGACAGTTGAAATTGATTAGTATATCGTCACAAGGCGTCATCGAAATCAATTTCAACGGTCGAAACTCATTAAGAATCAGGCCCCTGTTCTTATGCTTATGTTGCGGCGGGGGTTCGCATGCATATGGTGGATGCAGAAGCGTACCTATAGTTTGATTTCGATATTCACTGGAATATTCCTAAATCCCCTAAAGCTATTCCATTCCTAACAGCGACTAGCGGGCGATAATAATAACAGCATTTATTGTACAACAGTTACCCATTTACACAGTGCCGGATGCTCCGCTGTTCGACTTTCGTCCGCCGGTGCGCATGACGTCATTCTGAGAGTGATTCTCATTTGGGTTGATACGAATAAGGTGCATATTTTCACCTACAGGCCAAACGGCTGGACGGATTTTTACATATGAAGTGTTGTTGGATTCGTCTTAGCGGTGCGAGTGGCACTGGCTAGATTAAAATTTTATACAAAACAAAATGGTGGATTTTAATAAAAGATTTCAACCTTGTAATTCCTATTTCATAGGCTACAGCTCAAACGGCTTGATAGGTCATTTTCACATATGAGGTGTCGTTGGATTCGTCTTATCGATGCGAGTGACACAAGCTACATTTAAATTTTATACAAAATGGCGGATTTAAATAAAGGATGTCAACCTAGTAATTCCTATTTCACAGGCTATGGCTTAAACGCCTTCCTAGCTCCACAATAGAGCGTATCGTCACTTTACTGTAAAAATAAGATAACTGATGACCTGTTTCTACATTACCTATATTTTTATGTTCTGTGGAGCAGGACTAACATGCTCATGACGTTAATACTGCACTACATTTATTCTTATTTCGCAAAACATCAGTACATGCAAGTGTGAAAATGTACGCAGCAACTCGAAAAGTAGAAAAATGGAGTTATCTTCTTTTTGCAGTAAGCTGGCGGTATAAGAATACATAATTGGAAATTACTCAGTCTAAGCAACAAGTTTTCTCTGGTCTTTCAAACTTTTATTCAGTTCTTTGATCTGGAAGAACATCCTTGACCTAAAAATAGTTTTTTAGCTTCTTTAGGGCAGTCAATGTTGCTGCTCTTCAACAGCAGTTCGCCTATAAAATGTTGCTCTTCTGTCACTATTCCGTCCCCAGTGAATGTAGTAAAGATACCTTGTTTAGCTTCTCAATTTGATTTATGAAAGCTGTGGAAGGTTTCGAAAATACACTCTCACTAAGATGGTCTATCTAGGACTAAGTTTCATTTCCTCGTTATAGTCAGCTGATACTTCAGGTGCATTCAGCTTAGTCGTTAATGATGCGGTTAGTGGAATGTATGGAGTATCCTCTGACTCTACTCTGCATCTGCAATACTCTGAGTATGCGCCTTCGTCTCGCCCCAAAATAGGTATAAGATCTTATTCTAAACTTGGATGGTCATGAAGACCACGTTTTGGACTAATTACTCCGAAAAAGTTTCCTATCACATCATTAAGACGTCTTGTTAACAGGTATTGGATGCTGAAACTGAATTTTCCGTAGTAATGGCATCATCTTTTAGAGCACGATATCTTTTAGGGGTGTAACCCAAAAGGGTATGTCTTTGCAAGGATTCCGTTCAGATTGGTTGTCGGATTACATCCCACAACGGCACACCGCATTTTTATCAATTTATCAATTTATAAAGTATGTATAACTCATACAAGTCACAAAAATCACTAACAAATCGCACGACATAGTATTAACCACGATACAAGTACACTGCAGTAACGTTACGACAATCTTGCCGCTGGTAATTACGAGCCGACAACTCTCAAGGTGGTTACAGGACAATTACTTAAACAAAATAAACTAATAGTCTGCGGCAGAGCTTGGAAAGAAAATAATCAATTCAAGTACTGATAAGCCATCCTAATTACTACACTAAGATATGAATATATATAGCAATGACAGCTCTATTGAAATGTTTACATATTACATGCAAGGTGACTTGACCAAAACGTTGGTCCTTGCTCTAGAGCAGAGTTCCCCAAACTTTTTTGTGTCGTAGACCCCTTGCCATGTTTTTCCGTGTTGGGTAGACCCCCTACTTACCTGATATTGATTTCCTGTAAATTTCTAACTGTAGTGAAGTTTAGTGTTAAAAACTTAAAGTAAAAACACATGTTAATTTATCATTTATTAATTGAATTTAAATTAAAACTACTCAAAATAAAATTTTGTATCTGTTATGTAAAATATACGTAACATTAAATAAACAGATGTCTGACCAATAAGTGCCCGCATTGGGAATAAGTGCCCGCATTGAAAAAAAAATAAGAGGGATAACATAAAAAAAAGTGAAAAATAATAAAAAAAAATTTTTTTACTTAAAATAGAACAATAAGCGAGTTCGTTTATTAATTAAAACATAAACGTATGTTCTACAATAATTTCACTGTTAGTTTGATTAAATTCCGCTTCTTATACGTTTAAGTTATCTAAAAATAGGCAAAAAATTAACGAATTTTAGTGTGTACCTATCCTTGAATTTTCAGAATAATATTTAAAAAAATATTTTCTATAAAGGGGGGTTCTTAAAAAAACAATGCGGGCACTTATTCCCAATGCGGGCATTTATTGGTCAGACACCAATAAACATAAAATAAACCATAAATAAAATAACATAAGCAATAAGTCAATATTTTTAGTGAGAAGGATGAACCTGATGCTTTAATAATAAATTATCAACATTTGGCGTCAATTTTGTAAGGGTTATCTTAAATCTCCTCGGCTAATGATGTCCAGTCTGTTTCTTTTTTTCGTTTAGGAGATTGGTAACAACGCTGAACCCCCTTTCCACTAGGTATGACGATGGAAAGGAAACTAAAAATTTCCTCGCTATATTCCATAATACGGGATAAGTAACGGGTATGTTGTTTTGCATCCAGAATTGCTGATATCCGTTTTTAAACTGAACCTTAAGTTCTTCGTTTGTACTTAGTTCAGTCAGTTCCTCTTGTATTATGACATTCGTTTCTTCTATGTCACCATATGGATTAATTATCCACGGTGGTATTACCATAGTCAAAATATCCTCAAACCTAGATTCAAAATCTGAATAGAGTGCATTTAAATATTAAAATACTCGCATATTAATTAATATACCTTCAAAGCCGTTACGGAATCCCTACAATTCCCGTATTAGTTGAGCGCTTATGAAACTTTTTGAGAAATAATGTTAATATTTAGTCATGAAGAACACCCACATCTCTGATTGTATCACATCTATCCAACAACGTACCATCAATCTTATAGATGAAAATATGAAAAGTTTTTCCTACTATAACTAACAACCTTGCACTTATTGGTAATTAGATGTAGGTTTTTGACATCTCACCAAGTTCGAATACTATTCAACTCCATCTGTAAATTCAGACAAACATAAATATCCCTTATAGACAAATATGTTTTGATGTCGTCGTAGTGGATTTGTCTTCTGAAAGTTAGGATGTTTCCTTTTCAGAAACAACTAACTATGCCTGAAATAAAAAAGCTAAAAAAAATAAATGAAATTTGTCGCCCTTGGTAAAATGTTTCGTATTGTAAACCCTCCAGCCGATGTCCAGTGAGCATACCATTTTATCATGCCAGTTCAAAAATGTTCAAAGAAAATGTTTGTTGAAAATGTGACCGACGGATTACGAGAGGATCCAGTGACAACACAAAAACGCACTCTTGTAGGAAAATCCTCAGCTTGGAAGGCTTGTACAAAGTGCTACAATCCACCATCACGCAGCGTTTACCACACTTTAGTCTTGGAGACGTGCACTTGTCTAGCCACTTCCCTAGTGCTTGCTGAAGGATTTTCTTCTACAAGATTCAACACTCATTCCTCAGTTTGCACCTTTCGGTCTCCTAAAGTGCCCACCTCGACATTCCTGCAAAACTGTATCCCCAGCTCTTTGCACAAGGTAAACAAATGTACGCGGCCTTGAATGATAACGCCTGGGAAAGCGATCTGCATGCACTCGCGAAGCGGCGGTAGCATTTTGAAGACGCTCACCATAACACTTAGCAAAAAATATAACCAAACCCAATAGCGATATCGCAGATGAATAATACATTTTTTTGTTAATTTTTTTGTATTTGTTTTGTTTAGTCAAACAACGCCCATGTTTTTCCGTACTTTAATAACGTCAGAATGGGAGTTTGTTCTCTTCCCTCAACGTATCGGGAGTTATTAAATTCTTTCATGTTGTGTGCCTACGTACAAACCAAAATGCAGCCAGGATCAAAGAACTCTTATTTACAGCGTAATACGCATGTACCGGCATTAATGTAGTGCTGTGATTCACGTGGTTGTATTTTTGTTTAGTTTTTATTAACATTTATTGAAAAGCAAACTTTAAAACAAGCAGGCTAAATGGTAAGGGATATTAGTCAGTTACATTATACAGAGTGTTCTTGATGTTGGGACTTTGTACGCCGAATAGTTCTTGTAGTATTAATCAAATTTTCGTAACATATACAGGGTGGCCCATCCATGTGTGGACGGAATATTACTCATAAACAAATACATTTTTGGAAAATCTATTTATTGCATGTTATACATGACATTTGAGGGCAAATTTCTAAAATATTGGCAATTAAACAGGGTGTCCCAATTTTGGCACACATATCAAAGTGATTTTTTAAATGGAATGCCTCAAATTTTTTTGCATATTTGGATAAACCAAAAATACTATGGGGTTCTGATAATTAGGGTTTTGGTAATTAGCTACTGAGATATAAGGTGTTTTGTCCAGAAAAACCGTCCACTTCAGCAACCCTTCAATCCGCCGTTTTGAAATTTGGAGTGCTGAATTTTGTATAAAAAAAACACCTCACCTTTTATCCCATTTGTTACTTTTTCGAATTTTCATTTTTGCTCATACAAAAACGCGAATTTTACTTTTTCTCAAAAATTTCAAATGCTTCACCCTGTATATTTGTAAAAGTTTGGATTCAGTTTTTATAAGCTTTTTTTTGGTATAAGGTTTGATTCAGATAAAATCCTACTAGATTTTGAGTTAATAAGCTTTCAATAGAACAACACGCCAAAATTAAGGAAAAAAATCCATCATCCATGGGAACAAAAAAAAACAGTGGGCTAGTTCCATATTGCCACTAAGAGTACATATTTGAAGTAGAAACTAATAACAATCAGAACAGTATAAATCAGCTTCAAGCGTAATAGAGAAAAACAATTATAACAACAACATAAACAAACAACTATCACTACTCAAGAGCAATCTACAAAAACTGCTCGAAAATAACACCAGCATGTTGAATACACAGCCGTAGTCTTTGGATAAATGACCGTTGCACATCCGTCAGCATGTGTCCCCTTATGTTCAGAAAACATCCTTAATCCTTTCCTTCATATTTTCCGGGGTAGATGGTGGATATCTATAAACCTCTTGCATAACGTAGCCCCATAGAAAGAAGCTCATCGGTGTCATATCTGGTGATCTAGGAGGCCAAGATATAGGCCCATCACGACCGATCCAACGATTGTTACTCCAGGTGTCCAAATAGTTACAAACACGAATATGATAATGCGCAGGTGCGCCGTCATGTTGGAAGTACATATGCATCCAAGTTTGCAGGTTGACATCCTCCAAAAGCAAAGGCAAATGCTCGATCAAAAAATTCAAGTATTCTGTACCTGTTAATCTGTTGTCGAAAAAGAAAGGCCCGATAACTTGTCTGCCAATACTCCTTCCCAAACATTCAAGCTCTATTTTGGAAATCTATTTGCCTAACCCATTAAGGGTTTTCCGTCGCATAATAGTGACAATACCTATGCTGTTGCCTCATCGCTAAAAAGAACCTTATCCGGGAAAGTAGTGTCTTCACTCACTGTATTTAGCATTATTCAACTAAACTCCATTGATATGGATGGTACCTATGCTTGTGAATAATCCTTTGGACAAAAGTTCTGCATATACCAATTTCTGCTCCAATTTGCCGTGTACTTAAATGGGGATTTTCCTGCAACTTTAATAGAACCTCCAACTGACTCGCCTCATTGGTGACACTGGGATTATTTATACATTTTTTACTATATTCCACTGTTCCACTTGATTCAAAACGTTCTCGTGGTTTGGAAAATGTTTCCGGACTTGGATGTCGCATATTAGGGTACCGTTGCTTATACATATACAGGGTTATCCAAATTAAGTGTCCACCATTAGTAACTTTGTTATTAGTGAAAATACAAAGTTGTTTGAATTAGCAAACTAGTAGCATTTTTAACGCTGGTAAAAATGAGAAATAAAAAAAACAATTGAGAGTCGTTATTTTGATTTTTTTCAGTAAAATAACATTTTTTTAAATGGAAACCCCTGTATATTATATTTTTTTCTGTTAAAGCATCAAATTTTAAACAAAAAAGCTTACAATAACTTTTCTCCTAGGTTACAAATTGTTGAAGTTATGGCCTCCAATCTGAAACAATTAAATTGTATCGACAAACTATTTTTTTAAAGAAGATGCTCGAAAACACCACCTTGTTCTTCAATACATTTTTGGGCACGTTTTTCAACTGCTCGAACTGTCTTAAGTATGGTCCTACCATCTATCTGGGTTATCTTTTCCCTAACTGCAGTCTTTAACGCGTCAAGGTTATCGTACCTTCGCTTGTAAATTTGGTTCTTTAAGTAACCCCACAAGAAGTAATCAAGTGGGTTTAGATCTGGTGATCTGGGAGGCCACTGTATTGGGCCATTTTTTCCTATCCACTGATCATTAAAAGTAGTACTTAGAAAATGATAAGTACCTCTGGAGTTGTGGGCAGCTGCGCCATCTTGCTGAAAATGCAGATGATGTCTACTTATAAGATCCAATTCGTCTAAGAAATTAGTCAGAATTTCTGACATAAATTCCACATATCTTTCACCAGTTAGGGTTCCCTCATAAAAGAACGGGCCAACAATTTTTGAACCAATTATACCGCACCAAACGTTGAAACTGAAACGGACTTGTGGGCCTCTTGGATGTACTAACAAAAGATTTTCTCTTGACCAATAATGGTGGTTTTTTCTATTAAACATTCCAGAATTTGAAAAATTTGATTCATCTGTCCATAAAAGGTAACGAAAGTTATTTACATTTTGGCGACAGAAGCTAAGATACCAATGGCAAAAAACAAGTCTTCTCTCTGGATCCCCTGCCAAAAGCGTTTGAACTGGTCGGTACTTATACGGAATAAATTTGTATTTTTTTAAAATCCCTTGAACAGTACCATAACTGAAATTAGAGTCCTTGAGAATATCTGCTATTGAATTCTCACGATAAGCTTCAAAATATCCAATAACTGCAATTTCCGTGGCCTCGCTTATTATGAATTCTTTTTTTGCCCTTGTTTTAGCAAAAACATTTTCGTTGCCCCTAAATTTTCGATAAAGCCTCAGAAAATATCGTTCATACGGTTGAATGCGAGCGGGATATAATTCACTGTAGTATTCTCTTGCTCTCAAGGAGGATTTTCTGCACACTAAATAGCATTCTAACATATCACACTTTTCTTCATGGGAGAACATTTTTCTTTAAATTAATGACACAATAAAGCTTATAAACAAGTATTTACACTAATGTTTGACATTATTTGATTTTATCATTGTTTTCCAAAGCCTTCTAGTTGCGAGTATGTCCAGTTTAACAATTTGTCGCTTATCTTAATGCTGTCAAATCGCGAACGCCATGTTGTTTTCATAGCCGTCTTAATATTATAATACTGCAAATAATTAAAAATATTTATCGTTATTTTGACTTTATTTTTGACTTTAGCGGAAAAGTCATTATGAACTTTTTTGTTTAAAATTTGATGCTTTAACAGAAAAAAATATAATATACAGGGGTTTCCATTTAAAAAAATGTTATTTTACTGAAAAAAATCAAAATAACGACTCTCAATTGTTTTTTTTTATTTCTCATTTTTACCAGCGTTAAAAATGCTACTAGTTTGCTAATTCAAACAACTTTGTATTTTCACTAATAACAAAGTTACTAATGGTGGACACTTAATTTGGATAACCCTGT